CCTCATGTTTTCATGGCACCTCAGTTGTTTGGTTTTTTTTCAAAATCTAGTAATGAACATATCAAAATGCAGAGACATTGCATCCATTGGGAAAAAGGAAACTACAGAGACACAGATTTGTTTGGAACAGGCACCATTGGAGAGGCAGGCAGCTCTAACGGCTGCATGTGATGACAGCATGAGGGAGAGAGGCTGAGGAAAATAACCACATTCAGAAATGACAGACAAAGCTGAAAGATGCAAACGAGATGAGTTTAAAGGTTGCGTTGTTTGTTCTTTTTCAGTTGCAATTTTTAAAAGGCTGAAACAGTAAAAGAACACAGAAAAAAAATTATTTTTGTATTTTATGCTCCAATTGACCAATGACTAATGTCGTAAATATGAGCATTATTCATAGTTGTTACAGTGAAACCTAGTAAGAGACATCCCCCACTGTTCTGCCTTCTACATTGCTTAGAATGGAACGTATTTATTGCCAGAACTTGAGACATATAACCAGTATGTAGGCACGAGCTTTATCTTCTTTCCTTTAAGTTTAACAATACTTAGGGCATAGAAGTGCTACTTTAAAGGGTTTTTTTTAATCCATCTCTCTATATTCGTGTATACATATGTATACAGAGACATATATACATACACAGAAACAACAAGTATATTATATATATTTTTATTTTTTATAGATAGATAGATAGATAGATAGATAGATAGATAGATAGATAGATAGATAGATATAAAAATGTTTCTTAGAAAGCTCTCAAGCACCTATCAATTCAGTTTCCCAGATCTGGAATTTGATCAGACTAGTAACAACCTGTCAGCTTTAAATATTGGACTATTTGTTTCCCTGTGTCCAGTGCCTAAGATCTTGTTAATTACCTAAACTCTCTTTCTGTAGGTCTTGTTAATTACCCGTCTCCTGTCTCAGAGGACCTTGTTAATAACTTGTACAATCTCTCTAAAAAGGTCCTAATAACACATTAAAATTAAAGATGCTTTTCTTTTAGCACTTGTCAAGTGGTGTAAATTGAGAAATTTTCACATCAGTTGATTAGCCTACTGTAGTGTATTTTCCTAAACACAAACAATTTCAGAGAAATGATGCACAAGGTTTGGTCATGGCACAAAACAATCTTTGTTTACCAGGAGTACCCTCAATTTCTTTAACTGTGTTCAATACAAAATCCACGTGGCTCCTGACTGCAAATTAACCTCTTGAGAGCCATGACAATAGCAGTAATGGTAAGAGTGACAGCAATTTAAGATTATATTAGGTAAAAGTTTTAAAACAGTGGATTAAAAAGTACAAAGGCAAACCTATTATTGGTAAATGCTAACTAAAAATAGTAGACACATTGTGTGCTTAAAAATTCTTCATTGGCTGTATGATATAAATCCTCTGGAGCTAACAGATTTTGTAATATTTGGAAAAACAACGTTTCTTGTTTCACTGTGAGACTGCAGCGTTTTTAAATTGTCAAGAAATCAGCTCATAAATATCTATATTACACCTACACCAGACAATAAAAAACCCCCAATCTTAACACTTATGTAATACTGTAATACTGTATCTATAAAAACCTTAAAAAAATACTAATTTATCCACTCAGCATTTGTAAGAGGTATCAAAATATCATCCCCATTTTACAGATCAGGAGCAGGGAGACTAAGTGGTTTAGCCAAAGCCACAGAACAAGCTTTTGCCAGAGCAGAGATTAATAGAAATGAGGGGTTCATATTTTGTGATTTCCTGACAACTAGTATTATACACAAACCAGGCAGGTTTTGTTTTGCTTTTCCAAAATGCTTCTTAAACTTTCTTGAAATAACAGTAATAAATAACAGTAATAAAAACAAATAATACTTTTCAAATAATCCTGGGATACTAGTTACTTTTAAGAAAAATAATCCTGTAACTATCACTGAACCACCTCTACATTTTATGTATCAGCAGCTGAGAAACACATGGAAGATGTATTTATCTTAATTCTTTTAATTAGTAAATAAGAGTGATTAGTGGCAGAATATTCATAGAGCCAGTTAGGTCTTAACGGGTGGTCAGGTCAAAGGTTATTCAGCAACTGTTCTTCGACTCACCCAGCCATCAGTGAGTGATATTGTGATGAGCTGCTGTCCTCCACATCATTACTGCTTAGTCAGCATTACCAAACACAACTAATTAGGATGAACTTGAGCCTGACCAAAAGCTCCCCAAAGTCACTGAAAAGACTCCCGCTAACTTTAAAGACATGGCTTCATTGGTGCCAAGAACCTGACCTTCACACTACGCACATGAAGGAGTTGGGTTTGGTCCGTTTTTCTGAGGGTGGGGAAGAGGATTGCTGTGGGGTTTTTAATTTAACTTTGCAGTATCTCCAGCCTGGTCCCAGAGACCGAATGCCCTTCTGTGGCTACAGTGTGCTCCTGGAATACATCTTCCACTCGAATTTCACCTGACAAGAATATAGTTCACATACTCCAGGATCATTTCATCACTCAAACCATGGCTTAGCTAAGCACAGTTAAATGGGAGATCCACCTGTTAAGCAAACTCGTCATCCACAGCAGAACATGGATTTTGGACACACCTTAATAAAAAGATACTGCCTGGTTTACTTGCAGAAATGGTATCCATCCAAAAGAGCTTAAGAGCATACTGAGTAAATAAAAAATAACTCAAATTTTAAATTCCCTGTGCATGCTTTCTGCATACTGAATTTCTTACTCAACCTCATTTATTTTGTGCCCACAGATTTATACAACTCTTTCTTCACAGTACTAGTTCAAAAAATTAAAAATGGATTCTATTCAACAAATCCTCCACAGATAAAAGGTAAACTTAAACTGTAAACTTATTAAATATGCACATTTTGTATTAGTTTCTACTTCAAAAGAAAATCACTGTACAAGTTACATTTGAAAGAAAGTGAACTTATTCTAAAAGGTTCTCACAGAACATAATACTGGAGCATATAAAAATAGAGAGTTTCTAACTTAAATTATTACACACTAGATACTCCATAATAGCTGTCTTACAGAAAAGGTCAAAATATTTACTATTTTTGGCTTTTTGAAAATAGCAGAATATCTACTTGTCTTATCATATGTTTATGTTTACATAAAAGTCAAGAACTAGTCAAAGAGACTCATATAAAGAGGGGGAACAAATGACTACAGTCCTTCTGAATGGGCACTGTGATGAGCTTTTTAATTACAAAATAAAGAAAAAAAAAAGTCCATCATGATTACCATTAAAGATTTATATTTATCAAGATCTGCTGCATTCAAGAACTTCAAAAGATTTCACTACTTGTATCTAGCATCTGCCTGAATGGATTTTTTCATTTTAAAAAAATTAAATGCTATGTAATTTTAATTGTTATTTAAATTACTGCTCTTTAAAGGAGCTTATTTAAATGGAAGCTTAATTTCTGACAAACCAAGATACATCCTAACCTTACTCTAATCTAGAGAAATCCTTTATTAAATAAATAATATTCTACGACTCTGTCTATAAACATGATATTTAAGACACTAGGAACTGACTTGACTTGTAGAAGACGTTAAGAAGATAATTCACTGAAGTCTGTATGAGCTTCTAGCAATCGAATCTTTTCTGCAGCACTTCAATTTCAGTTCATTTATCTAATACACATCCATGATTAGCTTTATTGGGAAAACGATTATAACTTTAAATCAGGAGTGCATGTATTCTAACCTATGAATAAAACTGAGCTGGGATACAATAAGATCAATCTGTTCTAAATTCTTAAAGAACAATATAATGAGAAACAAAAATTAAATTTAAATTTTTTAAAACAAAAATTTTAAAAATTAATGACACAGTAGTATTTAGGAAAATACTACTCTCATTAATTAAGGAATTAATAACAGGGAAAAGGCAAATTTGTTAGAACCATGTTTTCCATTTAAAATGCTGATTATTTTACAACCTTAAAATTCCAGTTTGAAGCACTGTAATTTTAAATTCAATTTCTACCAAATTTAAGTCCTTAAACAGAAATTAATCATTATGTTGCAAAAAAAGCACTGTTAATTTCTAGCATTAATATACAGAAAAAAAAAAGAATGCAAATGAATAAAAGTTTAATTATTAACTGCTTAAACATTTACCTGTTGAGAACAGTACATAAGTGGGTGTGTGGGTGTGGGTGTGTAAAAATATATATATATATATATATATATATATAAAGAGAGTATATTTTCCTCACTAGCAAACAAAAGCCAGAAAGGAAACACTGTGGGATACATATTTTTTGGTTTGGTTTGGTTTTTAAAGAAAACAAGTTAACTGTTGATAGACAAACAAAGATTAAAATGGATTATTTAAATCAAAGTTTCTTATCAGCCCCTGCAACTTAATTCACTCTGCTTAGAACATAAACTGCTGCCTCATGCAATGACTTGAATACACAGAACTCAGCAAAGCTACGGTGAGCCAAACGAATTCAAGCACGATAAGTGTCCATGTGGGTGCTCCCATTTAGAAACAGAATGGTCTTCAATTCTTGTGCTTTAATGTATAGAATCTAAATCCATTTTTTTTTCCCAAATGGTGACATCTGCAGGACTTGTTTTCATTACTCACATTTTCTTTACCCTTTCATTTATACCGTTTCCTCTTTCTCTTAGATCTGAAACCTTTCCCTCTAAATCCCAACTTAGGGCAGTGTAATAACTAGCAATGAGTGTTCAGTGAAAGCAGAAGGCTTTCAGGAAGAACTCATTCTGAAGCACAAACAAAGTTTTCCACAAACGCAAGTACCCAAGAACATTCACAGTACATATTAGTAATATAAATGTAACTACAAAATTAATTAAGAAAAGATCAAACTATATAAAAAGTTCGTAACTTTTACTTAGAAGCAGATAAGCAATGATATAAAGGTATATAAAGCACAAAGATTGTGTTCCTCAACACTTCACATTTTCATTTATATAACATGTTCAAGATATCAGATCAAAATACAGCAAAAACCTACCTTGAAGATGGCAACATGCTTGTAGGCTTGAAGTTTGTCATAAACGGATTAGTCGAATCATAATCAAAACTCTCCCGACGAGTTTCACCAAACGCACTAGGTGATTTCAAGTCAGTAGAACCGTCTGATCCCCCATTGCTAAGTTTATCTAACCTCTTGCTATCTTTTTTTCCAGTCACTCTTTCAAAAAGACTAACTTTCTCTTTTTTTTCTCTTTTAATTTCTTTTCTGATTTCGACAGGTTTGGAAAACAGACTTATGTTCTGATCCCATGTTGCTGGGCTTTCTTCAAATGGATTCTTCTGTCTTGGCAGCGTAGCAAATTTTTGGGGTAATGAAGCACTCACATTGGTAAATGGATCATTCTGTGCTTCAAGTGCAGTTTCATCAACTGTGCTGTCAAGCTGGTTCATTTTAGAAGTATCAACACTTAATGTCCTTCTATGTGGAGATTTTAGACTCCCTGCAAACAATCTGTCATTAGTATATTATCAACAGGACACTATATCATAGTTTATGACATGCATAGAACCCATTTTAGCTTAGGTCTAGAAACTCTGCAATTGAGCCTCAGTTCAATTTTTTAAAAAAAGAACAGCTGTCATCTTGACTTTGTGATTCAGAAATGTTTATGGATAGACACTATAGCAAACTTTTGATTTCTGTGTGATAACTAAGTTTTACAGAGAAGACAGCTGTGACTAGCGCATCATTCCAGAAAGCGACAGTAGTCTACCTCTGCATAATAACTTTAAACAATGCAAACTATTTTCTGTTCTTTGTATAAATCAGATTTAAAACTTGGATGATAGTTTTCAACTTTTTTAACAGATTTTTATTTTTTATAAGACATCATTTTGCCTACAGTTCCCTCTAGAACGCAATGCTTCGCCTCAACATACTCTCAAATTAGGACATAAGAAGAAAAATGCTAAATTACTGTAAATTATGACCAATGTAAGTAATTTCTTATGCTCAGAAACAGCAGTTCTGAGCTACCACCTAATAGAAATGAAAAAAAAAAAAAAAAAGGCCAGCAATAGTTCTTAACTTTTTGGCCTTGTAATTTTTTCATAAACTAAACAGACTTTTGAATGCTCTAATAGCAGTGAACTGTAATTATAATGGTCATGAGTTTTACTTACCACCTTCATCAACTGAACCGAAAGAGTCTAGCTGACGCCTGAAAAGATGAGAGTAGCCAACTGTGCTGGATTTCATTTTTTCTGAGGAGACATGTGATCCTGTTAAATCTGACATCGAATGAGCTGAGGATAGCCGCTGAGGTCCCAAAAGGAAAGGTTTTTTTGGTTTTGATTTCATTTGTACTTCACCACTACATACCTCTATGTTCGCATCAGGTATGTGAGTACTTGGGATGATTGCAGAGGAGGTATCTGAAAACGTCCCATCATTTTTTCGACCTTTCATTTTGTCTTTTAGTTTAGCAAAAGGGGATTTGGTTTTGTCCTTCATTGACAAATCAAACATACTTGCTGTCATGTTATTCCTCATAAACTGAATATTGACCTTTATTTCTCCTCTGTCTTTAGTTCTCTTCCCTTGTCTGGACTCCAGATGAAACCACCTTAAAGGAGAAAAAGAGCCAGTTAAGTTGTGTTTTCTGGAGGCTAATCATTAAACTCTGCTTAGCTGGTTATCTGGTTCGTGTAACTTAAAATATGAAAACAAAATACCATACCAAAAGTTAAAACATTCCTGTAACTGAAAATTTTTTTTGTCTATATTAGTTTTTGAAGAGGAAACTTAGTAACTAAGCAAGTAAGAAATTCTTTGCCATGTTCACCTGTTTTGAGAACCAAAGTCAACTCCATGGAAGCTTACTAAACTTCATCAAAGCTAATGGGCTCACACATGCTTACAAAGGAGAATTTGTATCTAATGTTAATTATAAATACAAATACATTTTATTTTGCTATTTATGAAGACACTTGATAATTCTCAAGTGGCCTTTATTTAGCTGTGACGCATACAACCTGAATATATACTACGTAGCAAATATTTCATCTAGTAACATTTTCTCCTTTGATTTTGCTCAGGTTTATACACTGGCAAATATTTTTCCCCTCTGTCCTTTCCTTCTAATCGCTGCACTAGCAAAGAAATATCTGAGGGGCCTGAATAGTCAACTCTCATTTCAGTCTGCAATGGCAACCCCTACTGATGTTGACAGTAATTCCATGAGCACCGGTGGCAGAACAGTGTGTACGTAGAGGTATCTAACAGCCGTCTCTTCTCCTGCAGGTCACCAGTAGATTTTACTTCAGAAGTACTTCCACAGGCTTTGGAACCATGACATAAACCCCACTCCTTGAAAACAGACCAAAGGCGTGATCATCTGTTTCAAAAAATGAAGTGTGCTTCTTTGCCAGGTCCAACAAATGCTTTATTATTATCCAAGTTTCTTACTCATTCCCTGTTGTGCTCCATTGTCCCATGGAAGCATCTGCAGAATTATGGCTCAATCTTCCTTCCACAGCTTCACCTAAATGAATGACCAACAGACAACCCCTTCTCCACACCCATTATCAGTAGCCTTTTCCTATTTCAAAAAGGGTATAAGGGCATATTTCAGATCCATCAGCTCTAAAGAAGGGCTCTAAACCCACTGTCCGGAGAAATGCACGCACACATACTAACACAACAGTGAATTATCATGATGAAGTAACTTTTGAACTGGAGAGTAAGAAATAAAATTGCCTATCAGCACAGATGCAAAATTGATTATGCAATTATACATACATTATTCAATACTGCCAAATATAGAAAACAAGGTCAGGAAAGGAGAAAAATAACCTTCAATTTCCTCTCAGATTTCATAAATATTTTTAAAGGTGACAGCTGAAATAAAATTTTCAGGTAGAGATACTATTTTTGAGTTGAGAAAAATACTTCTAAAAGTGACCCGCCAAAGAAATAACAAAAGGATAAGTTGCTTTGTGATGCCCAAAAGGTTTTATATCCCATACAAAACCAGAATAATTGAGAAATCTCAGAACTTCTCTGTCCTAGCACTGGATAAGATGAATCCAGACCAGTAGATCCAGTAGGAGGACAATTAAACCTTTAGGAAGAAATTTTTTCTTCTGTTGTGAGGTAACTTCATTTATGTATTTTAAATGAAATGCAAAATCTGCAATAAGTTACATGTCTGAAGAAAGTGGATCATTTTTCTTTTTAGTTAATAATGTTTCACTTCTTGGTAACTGATTCCAGAAACTCTTGAATTCATCTATAGATTTATTACAAAAAACACACAACAGAACCAAGAGTAAATCTTTTTTGTGATATATAATATCGCAAAAACTGGAAGACAAGATAGCCTACGTTATATGAAACTCCTCTTTATTAGAAAATATGCTCAAATACTCTCTTAAAAAAATACACAGCCATAACAATCAAGCTCTTGCTTACAAATCTCTTGCTTACAAATCTCCATGAGACAGATCTTGCTGTGCAGAAAAAAAACAAAAAACAAAAAACAAAAAACCCCACCCTGAAACTGAGAAAGTCCTCACCGTGAGTCCTCAGACACACCAAACATAAACATAAATATAAATATAAATAAGGCTTATGAGTGTTTTAAGACACTTAATAGGCAGAGAGGACCCTGCTTTTCGACATTCAAATTTAATGGCTCAGCCTATCTTGTAAGAAAACATATTCCCCTTCTCCCAATTCCCCTCATCTCACAGGTCTCAAACATTATATACTGTATCTCTGGTAAGTTTGCTGAATTTTCAAGTGTTCCTACTTAGCAATTAGCAGAACTTTAAAAAGATGTATGACACTTGCGAACTTGTTTTAGAACAGTATCAAGACATAAATTGTTAAGCTTTTGCTGTGTGGAAGAAAGCTTTTTCCTTTAAAACTTGATTTAACTCCATTATTGACATTGTTATCATGAATCAACAACCCCTCGGTGTCACTACCAGTTCTCACCTGCTAACAGCATACCTCCACATACTATTTTGACATTCACCAGGTCTCAAGGACAGAATTCCAGCCCACAGCTAATACATTGCCTTTGCAGCCTGCACATTTTTTTGAAAGTAGACTTTGAAGAACTTAACAGTAAAAATAAGTTCAGCTGGGAAAACAAAGGAACTCTCCTTACCCTAAGAAGAGAATACAACGGCATAAGGGACTGGACCTCATACCTGCTGGGACCAGGTTCAACACTACCACTGATTCCAACAGAATTTAATCATAAACTCTTTACTCCAGCAAAATTCCGCTGGACTTCAGTGGAATTCTTATTTGAATAATGATTGCTGGATCAAATCTTTGTATAAAACACAGATATTTAATTTTCATAGGCATTTCAAGAAGGTTTCTTTGTTACCTTGGAGAGTTTATCTTGTTTTAGTTATAATGAAGGTTCCATATGTTTCAGCTCATAACAAGACAATATGCGAAGCAGACTCAAATCATGATTTTCTTCAAATTCAAAGGCGAATAATTACTTTTTTAAACAGATGAGAACAAATGCAGGCAATGCATTTGTGTGGAACTGCACGTGAATGAGCAACTGAGTCTGTAAATGTTTCTTATTAGAATCTGTTTCTACAACACATGGGCGTGAGCAACAAATAGAAAAAACAGCACTGTATAGAATACAAAAAAGAACTGGAAAATGAAGTCCACTGTTTTCAGATAACAACATTTGGGTCCTAAAATACTAAATTCCACTATACCACTGCCAATTTAAGAAATTGTAATGTATTATAAAAGCCAATAAAACTTGCTATTTTGGTTTTGTTTACAGTACTTTTAGCCACAATAAATGCTCCATTTGTCAGGCTGCCATAAGCTTATTCTATAGAAGCCTGTACAAAGTAGGAAAATAGCCAATAACATACACGAACAAAACAGGGTGGCTTTTATGAGAGCAGATGCCCTTTATTTAATAACCAAATATTACATCCAGTCTTGCAGACAGTCTTTATTTAAACAGACCTTGTACAAAGTCTGGCAAATTTTCCCAACTTCAAAGGAAGCCCTATTGCCTTCTGAATCACATTCATACTTCTTGCTCTCACCTTCAAATGTTCTGTAGGACAACGTCCTCCATACACCCTCTAATTTTGACTTTCCCCCTATGGTTTCCATCAGAACAACCCTTGCTTCTTTTTCTCATCTGTTTTTGAGTGCACTAATGGTCTTCGCCTGTCTTGCACAGGTTTCTGATCATTTTTATTTTGTAAGTATTGTATAAATTGCCACTCTGTATGCTGACAATTTTTTTGAACACAAAAAGAGAAGATCAAGATTCGAGACTGAACATGAAAAATCCTGCTGCCCAGTCAGCCCTGAAAAACTAAACCCCTATCTGAAGAAACGTGGCTATTTTCTAACCATGACAAAATTACTCAATTTTGGCCATACCTACAATTAGGGGTGCAAAAAGCAAACTCCCTTATTTCTAAGAAAAACAGTAACCATCTTCTGCATACTATTAAAGTAAATTGTGTAACATTAGCAGTACTAAACCCTTTAGCTTAGAAAAGGCAGACAGGAAGAGTGAAGTAGAAAACTGAAGTTACTATAAATGAGCAAGTTATAAAATTCTGGCTTCCCTATTGCATCTAATAGCTAGTGATCTACTAAAACATATCTTTTCAACATAGTTTCTTCAACTGTTCTTTTCCTCTCCCTTTTCTGATTTAATTTTCTTCCCATGAACTTGGTTTTCCAACTTACTTTTGCTTATCTACACTAGTCTCATTGCACCCTTCATCCTGCATCCAAAACATATTTTGAAAGCAGGATCTTGTTTCTCTTCTAATAGCAGGAACCTGATGTCATTGTGTCTTAGCCTTCAAATCTGCCACATAATTTAAGAGTTCCAAGTCTTAAACCTCTCTCTTTGACGAAGCATCACTCAGCCTATTCTGTTCACCATGTAACAGTGAGCAGGATAGGTTGACAGTATGGGTAAGAGCCTCCAAAACCACCGGGATACCTGTCTCCCAATTTCAAGAGGAATTAGAAGCATTCTAGCCAACACATTCAACCTGCGCATGATATACAACCTACTGACTGTCTTCTTACTAGTGCCAAAGACGGAAAGCACTAAAGGAAGTTTCCCACTCATTTCCCTGCTTCTGAAATATACCACTCTGCCTTCACTCTACCAGTAAATAACTATCGAGCTGATCTGATTTTGCTTTGCTGAAATCATTACATTGCGCCCAAAGTTTTTTGCAAAATCTTGATTTTAATTCACAAAGTTCTGAGGGAATTCTGCAAAAAGCCACACACTCATCACAGCATCCACAAGGCTTCTAACCTTGATTTTACAGTAAAAGCAGCATCCTGATCTGCTAACCAACTTTAATCTGCTACACAGTGATGAGGAAAGTTTTCTACACCAGCAGGTACTTCAAAAATTACCCCTAAAAAGACCATCAAAATCCCAGTGAGAGAACATGCCCATCAGCTGACACATGAAAGAAGTGCTTCTTCATTTTAGATTACTATGTTTAAGCTGAAGAAACTTGCTTCACAAAATCCTAACAGAGATGTCCACAGCTAATGGATAAAAAACAACATCCAAAGCCCATT